CTCCCCCAGTTTCCCCATCCCATCCCTGGCCACATGTTATATAGTTCTTTTTCAACATTCTGAGTACAACTGCTGCATTTATTCACCCTTTGTCTTTCCATTTTCAGATAAACATTTATTAACTAGTAAAGCTAAGCCTAATCTGTAAAACCATTGTCCCCTAGTTACATAAAGAGCAACAGAAACACAAAATTAGAAGATATACGCTGTATAGGAGATTGAAGTCTAGGTCTGGTAACAAAGAAAATATAAAGAGAGTTAAAAAATGTAAAAATACAGGTCTCAAAAGAATGTGGTAAGTTATAAAGTTAAAGAATACATCTTCACCTGATTTATGTAACCCCTCTGTACATCACCTTTATAATAACAATTTTTAAAAATGTACAGATTTGTGTTCCTAAGTATGCTACCAATGTCTCAACTGCATTAGAATTTCTGCAAATTGAAACTAGTCTTTTAAAACACATTCCCAGCTCATTTTTAATGTATATTCATGAATTCATGTTTAAAGATAATATCCAGAATGAATTTAGGAAAGATATCAAAATGACTTATTTTGTTTTTAAAATCTACTTAAACTATTTTCACTCTATCATCTTTATATTGCTTTTTAGAACAATGAATTTAAACTAAAATAGTACATTAAAATTACTTTAATTAGAAATTATACTAGTTTTAAATGACCCTTTTCTATGAAATCCTAATTTAAAGAAGTGATGACATATCAATATTATTTTTTTAGGAGGGAGGGGAAATTCCTGAGATTGAATCCAGGCCTCACATGCTCTATACTTGAAATACTCACCTCAAACATCAATTTCATGTATACTGTAATGTCTTGAAATTAATGTTAAGGTCAAATTTATGTACTGAAGATCCAAATATAATTACACTAACACCTGTTGTTAATTTTTTGCTTTTTAAAATATTTACTTAGCTGGGAGCCCGTGGCTCACGTCTGTAATCCTCACTATTCAGGAGGCTAAGATCTGAGGATTGAAGTTCAAAGCCAGCCTGGACAGCAAAGTCTGTGACACTCTTATCTCCAATTAACCACCAAAAACCGGAAGTGGCACTGCGGCTCAAGTGGTATTGTGCTCACTGTCAGCTGAAGAGCTCAAGGACAGCACCCAGGCCCAGAGTTCAAGCCCCATGACAGGAAAACAAACAACAAAAAAAAACTACTAATATAATTATCTTTAACTAGATGTAGGGGTTTCAATGCAATATGTCAGTTTGAGTATACTGCATCTTCACTGCATCTTCATCAGAGTCATGATCATACTTGTAGAATTTGGTGGGAGGGGGACCCCCACAAAAACAATGCTAGTAGAACCAATAGTCTCATGAAATCAACAGAACTTTGATTTAAAATTGTTTGTTTAAAGTCACTGTAATATGAAATAGTTAATATGATAGACATTGCATATGTTGAAAATTCATATCAAAGAGGAAAAGTTAAATAACAACTAACATTGGCAATAGTTAATAACTTTCCAAAAGCTACAGAAATTAGAAGTTACTAGAGAAACCAAATATTTCACAACATTACTTATATACTGGAGAATAATACTACATTAAAAAATTCCACTACAAATGTGAGACAAATTGTATTTTCCAAAGATAGCAGAGCATCCCTTCTATGTATATTCTTCTGCAATATGATCTTGTCACTTTCAAGTTGAAGTGGAGCCTATTTCTCTATTTTCATAATCTAGGTGGGTCCTATGATTGTACTAACTGACACAGAAATACTAAAGGGATCCTCCTCCAGTTCTAGGCACAGCTCTAAACTATCTTGAGTCTAGGTTACACTTTTTCTCTTAGAACACTTGCTCTTGGCAATCAACTATCATCCTGGAGGATGAGTGACCACACAGGAAAGCTATGGAACACAGACACCAGAAAGTCAAGCTACTGAAAAAAGTGAGCAATAAATACACATAAGCAAAATGAAATTTGTGGGTAAAGCCTCCTAAGGTTTTTTTCTTGTTGTTGCTGGTCATGGGGCCTGAACTCTGGGCCTAGGCGCTGCTGTCCCTCAACTCTTCAGCTCAAGGCTAGTGCTCTATCACTTGAGTCACAGCACCACTTTCAGCTTTTTCTGCTTATATGGTGCTGAGGGCTTCATGCACGCAAGACAAGCACTCTACCACTGAGCCACTTTCCCAGCCCACCTCCTAAGATTTTTGAGGTGGTTTGTTATGAAAATGAAACAAATTATTTCCTTTTAGAAAAATAAAAATCATGTTGTACTGGTTTTGAAAGTGGCTGGTAGCCTCAAAGAGACCAAGGAAAGGAGTGAGAAAGTGATGGTTAGTAGAAGCTGGAACAGACTCTCCTAGTTTCTAAGTTGGAAGGGACAATATACTGTTGTAAAAAAGAAAGTTGGGGGCTGGGAATGTAGCTCAGTAAGCATTTGCTTAGTAAGTGCAAGATCTTGGATTCAATCGCTAGCATTATTCATCCATAGACATACACATACACACACAGGTGCATATGAACATCAAAGTTGGGCAGTATCTAGTCTTGCTTACCTTTGATATTAAGAGCAATTGGTGATGAATATTAAAATACAAAAATAATTGTAAGATTCACATGGTTTTTTTACCTTAATGATACTTTTTCCTCACATTTTTATTAGCACATATTAATCGTACAATGTGAGTGTTTTACTATGAATTTCCATACATAGAGCAGATCTTGGTATCCACAGATATATATGTTTGTTTCCAAGGAGACCACTATTGAGGAAAACCCAAAGGAATTTAAATTTTAAGGCAGCCACTGTTTGGCCAGAGAATGAATTCTTCCCTTCCAGTACACTTAATTACACAGTCACAAAAAGACTGCTGAATTTTCAGCTGTTACATTTATGTCATAAGAATCAATTTCATAAAGAAATACAGCTATAAATCATAGAAAATTTGAAACTATTAATTTAACTTAATAGCTTAGTTGCTATATAGTTCTGATGTTCAAAATTACTAAGTCAATAAAGCAATACTAAAAGAAAGGATTCTTTGGGGCTGGGAAGGTGGCTCAGTGGTAGAGCACTTGCCTTGCATGCCTGAGGCCCTGGGTTCGATTCCCCAGCACCACATAAACAAAAAAAAAAGAAAAAAACGGGAAGTGGCACTGTGGCTCAAGTGGTAGAGCACTAGCCTTGAGCTGAAGAGCTGAGGGACAGCGCCCAGGCCCAGAGTTCAGGCCCCACGACCGGACCCAAAAAAAAAAGAAAGGATTCTTTTGTTCAGTAACGTATCATTTAATCAGAGCTGATCAATTATAAATGTTGACATGGTCAGCCTCCTAGCTACTCAGAAGGCTGAGATCTGAGGATTGATTGTGGGCAAAGCCAGCTCAGGCAGGAAAGTCTGTGAGACTCTTTATCTACAATTAACCACCAGAAAACCACTGGCGCTGTGGCTCAGAGTGGTAGAGCACTAGCCTGTAACCTGGAGCAAAAAGAGCTTGGGAACAGTACTGGAGCCCCACGACAGACAAAAAAAAAGAAGTTCATCTGCTGAGTATATACTGATAAAAACTAATGACAAGTATATTGTTACATTGATCACTTATCACTGCCAGTTGGAAGTCAGAAAGAAACTTTACACGGGCAAAATGAATTCTGACGCATGAAACATAACTTTACACTCACTTCTAGGTCTAACAAAACTGCAAATATAGCACAAGATGGAAAACATATTAGCTGCCAATCTACATGATAATGAAGATCTAGCTATTAACTTCCAACAGCAATGGATGTGTATTATATATATATATGGATGTGTATTATATATATATATAATATATATATGCTTATATATATATATATTATATATATATAAACAAGTTCACATTACTTTTGAACCAAATGTTAGCTCTTGTCAAAACCGACGATTTTGTGTGGAATTCACAAATAAGCACTAATTTTGCCCTGCAAAGTTAAGTAAGATTTGTTAGTATTTAACTCAAAAATGGTAGCAAAACCTAATTCAATACCAGTAGTTGTTATAATAGTACTAGAAGTCAGAGAAGTAATATGATTCAGGAAGATTTCAATCTTGGTCTTAAACCCAAAAGAATAGCAACGACACTGGTAAGCTAACAAATTACTGTGTGGCAATTCAGGAATATTCAGCTTTTATTTCTAAAAACAATTCATAGCCAAAAAGAATGAAGTTCTGATCTAAAAATAACACAGAATAGATTTAAAATACTTTGTACAAAATAGCTGTTAATGGAAAATGTAATCAGAACAGTCTTTAATGTCTTACTCTGGATTTTACTTTTATTTGTTTCTTAAATTTTTACATTTTTTTCTAATTTTTTCCCTGAGTACTAGAGTTTGGACTCTACCTAGAGTTTGGACTCTACTACTGGAGTTTTGCTCTACCACTTGAACCATATCCCAGCTTTCTTTCTTTAGTTTTTTGTAGGGTATTATTTTCTCTGGGGGCTAGATTCAGACAAACATTTTCCTACTATTCTTCCATATAGATGAGTTCACAGACCCATACCATGCCTTCAGATGGGGGTCTCACTTTTTTGCCTGGGATAACTTTAAACCTCAATCTTCCCAATCTCTTCTCTTGTGTAGCTGTTATTACAGGCATGAGCCATTGTGCCTAGCTTAAACTTTTTATTTAACATAAATACGAACTATAAAGTGAAGTGAAAATGTGTTCATTAAAAGACATTATAGCCAGGTGCTGGTGGCTCACGCCTGTAATCCTAGCTACTCACAAATCTGAAATCTGAGGATTACAGTTCAAAGCCAGCCCAGGCAGCAAAGTCCCTGACACTCTTATCTCCAATTAACCACCAGAAAACCAGAAGTGGCACTGTAGCTCAAGTGGTAGAGTGCTGCAGGGACAGCGCCCAGACCCAGAAGCTCCACAACCAACAACAGACAGACAGACAGACAGACATGACATTATAAAATATACAAAAGAGAAGTATCCTAAATGGAAACTTAAACCTGTAATAGTACTTACCTACAACCAGGCCACATTCAGGACAGATCATATCACCAGCTCTGTAGTCCTCTACTAAAATTGCATCTGGATGGTTTGGACATGTAACTCTTGGGAGAGCATCCAAACTAAATGAAGAAAGAATTATATCTTTATATCCACCCAACCAACACATAACAAAAGTCTTCTGGGGAGAAAAGAATTTAATGCTTTTCTAATACTTTAACATATTTAGGCTAAAATTTCAAAGTAAACATCTCAGATTAAATTCTAGTTACTAATTAGTGAATAGATTCCACTGGGATTATTTTGATTAGGGTTGGTATCAGTTTGCAGACATAGAAGGCTTTCAAAACTTAATTAGAAAACAAGTGTATCTTCTCTTAAAAAAGGTACTAACATTTTTTAAAACTGATTAGTGTAATAATGACTAGTTCCTAATAGCCAGAGGCATTTACATATATAACCATCTGGTTTGGGCTGTCCCTTATTTCTCTGGTATTCTCTGTATTTTTCTACTTGTTTGTTACCTGAATAACACACTTAGAACAGTACATGGATACAATATGTACATAAATGAAACTGGAGATGCTGTCTGATGAATTGAAAACCTAAAGACTGCAATTAATTTGCAACTGAGATTTTTAGAATTCAGGAAATGGCATTGCCAGGAATGGTGACATGTGTCAATAGTCTGAGCAACTGAGAGGTTGTTGGGGTAGAAGGATTCCTTTGAGTCCAGAAATTTGAGACTAGTCTGGGCAATAGAAACCTTACAGAAAATTTTAAAGAGAGGGAGTGGAGGGAAAGAAGGAAGGAAAGAAAAATGGAATGAGTCTGAAGTCAATTTATTTGGCTGGGGCCACAGCTCGTGGGAGAGCACCTGCATGGAAATTGTGACGCTCTGATTTCAAACACCCATACCACCAAAACCAAACCAAAATACATTTAATATCTTTGTAATATTAATAATTTCTCCAATTACTTTATTTTCAGAATGAAACAGCCTGAGGAAGACAATCTGATGACCTTATAAAATCAGCTTAATTTGATTTCTAAGAGGTATGATGAAAATAAGTCCTTTTCTAGCCAGGTGCTGCTTGCTCATGCCTATAATCTTAGCTACTCAGGATCTGAGATTTGAGGATCATGGTTCAAAGACAGCTGGGACAGGAATGTCCACAAGACTCTCATCGCCAATTAACCACCAAAAAAAAAAAAAGGAAATGACAGTGTGGCTCAAGTGGCAGAGTGCTAGCCTGGAGACAAAGTTAAGGGACAGTGCCCAGGACAAGCAGGTCGCAGGACAAGCAAAAACAAAAAACAAACAAAAAAGTCCTTTGCTAAAATTCCTTGAAGCAATACAGTAAGTGGTTCCTAGATATGGTTATGACTATTCAAAGACATATCTAATGATAAAATCAACAGTTCTTATAATATGTAAATGGATTCGTTTCTTAGGCTAGCAAGTAAATTCAGTATGTGAATTACTGATTGAAAAGGTGAACCAAAAATTCAATTTACATATTGCTAAAGTTTACATAAATGGGCAGATGTCGCTTTGTATTCATATTTACCCAATAAATTTGTTACAAAAATGTTAATGAATTATGAAAAACAAAAGTAACAAACATGAAGGAAAATTATTTTATCCTAAGTAATTACAAATGGGTAAATCAGGAAGGTATATGGAACACACTATGCAAAGACTTGATACCTTTTTCACTATTCAAGTATCTCCAAGATATACTAAGTGATGAGTAAGCATCTCATCTAATTTCCTACATAGTCAGACAATAGAAAACTTACATAATTTATTTAAACCTTAAAATATGCAAAACAAATCTCTGGTGTTAGCATGTGGTTTTTCTGTGGTGAGGAGTAATGGCTGAGGACACAAGGGAGACTACAAATGGCAACTGACTGGACCTGGGAGGTGGCTATTTTGATGTGCTCACCTTATAGATGAATTGTATATAATTAAATTTCGTGCTAACTTCATAAAAAGGCAAGGAATCAAGAAAGCAAACAAGGTTTACAGCAGACCACTTTCTTGGTGGAAAAGAAGTTAAAACTACACATTTGTTAAAGCATAGTCACTGAGAAACATCAAGATATGGGTAACAAAGGCTGCTATGGGGAAATTAGATGTCTGGGACAAAGAGAAGGCAGACTACTATTTTACTGTATAATCTTTTATACTTTTATTATAGATCCAAAATAAAATGAAATTATGAAAAGTAGTAAACTTTTAATCAAGTTATCCACAAATATAAAGAAGGAATCAGGAATGGAATGGCAGTAGTAGAGAAACAATGGAGAAGAGACAGGGAAAACCCCACCAACTGATATTAAAACAATTTAAGACTACCAAGAGACCAGATAATCACGAACCTCATTATATGGTTATCATTTACTGGATGCCCTTTGGGTTTCTTAGCACTATACATTTATTATGTATTCACAACAATCCTGAAAGAGGACTATCTCCTCTTAAAGGACTATCTCAGAAAATTATTTATCTGGTCATGGAATAAATGGTAGACTTAAATTTTGAACCAAACCATGTTGCTGTCTGTGAGAACACCAGGCAGTTTCACAACCCAATAATCCTTAGGAGGAAGAATGCTAAACATATTAGTGTGATATTTACCGTTGTTCTTTCCTTTGGCAGGAAAAACTTGAGAAATGAGTAGTTGCAATAACACATACACTTAAAAGTTGGATGCCAAAAGATTTTTATTTCAAAAATTTTTTTGAACGAAAATACCCTAATCAGTAAACTTCCTATGTGTACTACTTAACTGCCACAACTTATTCTTTACTAACAAAAATTTCCTCCTCTATACTATACAAAGGTTGAAAATACCCTAGGCCAGTAAATTTCCTATGTGTACTACCTTAACTGCCACAACTAATTCTCTACTAACAAAAATTTCCTCCTCTATACTATGCAAAGCTTGTGTCTATATATGACTACATTGCCCTTCCAGGTTTACTTCTGTGAAAGAAATTTAGGTAGCATCAGGTATTTGAAGAAACTGCAGTTTCCTACTTACTGAACCACACCTAGAGTGGTAAGACTATTAAATCACTGGAATCAGTAAACAAAGTAGTTGACTTATTTAAGAGTGATTTCCAAACTAGACACTAGTTGAAGTTGCTAATACCCCCTTCCCTCTGTGCAGTCATAAAACACTAAGTCTGGGACAGTTAACTAGACATTATTAGCCTGTTTTTGTAAACAAGTTTTCCAATGGTGAAATTTAACCATTGCATAGATAATCATGGGCTCAGAAAAACTATGCCAACCCTGCCTTCCAGAAGCTGGACTTCATGTGATACTTTTACGAGTTAACTAGAGGCCACAAGAGGCAATTTAAGACTGCACTCTATTACTAATTTTGGAAGGGTCAACAGTGACATGACTCGTTTCACACTAACGCAAAAATACAAATATCTACCTCATAGTGATTATGAGAGACATAATTAGGGTCTGCCAGCATTTTCAGGTCACATGATTAAAGGCTGTCTCGGAAGACACTGCATCTGCATCCATTTCCTGAAGATAGGAGCGCATCACACTCAAAAACTATAACACAGCTTTAAAAAAAAAAAAAGAAAAAAAGTTCCCAGCAAGGTCAAGATGGATTTCCTCCAGGAGTAACGCAGACAATTACACTGGGCCAGGGGAGTGGGGGCGGGGGGGGGGGGGGGGGGGGACTAAAAGGGTCTAGTAGGAAATGAATCCACTCTTGAATTGGGCTCAGGATTCCACTTCGGTTGGGCTACTGGGGAAAACGATCCGTTCCCCTCCGGCTAACCCGAGCTGACGTTCCTCAGCTTCCTAGGGTGTCAGGGCCGCCGGCGCCGCGGAAACGTCCCTTTTCCCCCCCCCCCCCCCCCCCCCCCCCCCCCCCCCGCTTTTCCGAGAAGAGGGATCCCAGCCCCTTGGGGTGGTTAAGGGCCGTCGACAGAAAATCGCGTGGGAAAACAAAACAAAACCGGGGGACACTGGGGCGGGGCGGGGGGCACAGCCGAAGTCCTCTCGGAAGCGGGGCGGGCCGTGGGGGCCCCGGCGCGCCCGGCCCCCGGGGCGGCGCTCGGCCGAGACGGCGCGGCCGGCGCGCTGCCCCGCGACCCCCTGACAGCCCCGCCGGTCGGGACGAGCCTCGGTCCGGGCGGGCCGCGCCGCCTCGCCGCCTCCGCCGGGCACCTCCGGTCGTCGTGGCCGCCGCGGAAGGCCGAGAAAGCCCCGGCGCTCGCCGCCAGCCCCTCGACTACCCCGGCTCGGCCCGACATACTAACCGGCTGGTAGACGCCATCTTCGCCGCCACTGTGGCTTAGGTAACAACAGCTGCGCCGAAAACAGGAAGCGATTGTGGCGGCCGGACGCGCCGAGGCCGGCTTTTATAGGCGGGTCGCTGACGCAGTCCCAGAACCGGGCGTGGCTACGGGTCGCCAGAGAGGCCAAGAAGAATGAGCTCCCCGTGCGCCGTGTGTTTGGCGTTTGCCCGACTCTGCTTCTGTCATTCACGCGTTGCCAATCTAAGTCGACGAAACTAGCCAGGACGAGTCTCTCCGAATTCTGCCAACAGTCCACACCATAGCTGGTCTCAATTCAACGGACTTAAAACAAGATAGGAATCCTGGTCTCTCGGAGAGAGCAAAGCCCACCCCTCATCCCACCCCCAACCACAAACCACTGCTTTCCATTTCCATCCTAGAGTCAATTTGGCCTGTGTGATTGCATTGGATACTTGCCCTGAGGGCTAATTCTACCTTACTATGTTATTTGGAAGAAAAAGAACAATTAGCTTACGTCATCCAGAACAAGTGTCCATTCAAGCTCTGTCATCATCTAGCATGCTATGAATTCTTAGACATGTTCATCCGAGTTAAGAGGTAATAGGAACTGCCTTATATACCCTGTTAGAGTTGGCAGGGGATGAAACAAAACCATGTGACAGCACACTGGTGTAGTGAAGCACAAAGATCTGGGGCTTGCCCTGATAGATTGGTTTATTTGTTTTATCTATCTGCTTTGGAAAATTTGGCTGCTAACTTTGCAGTACATCTTATAACTGCCCAAAGGTCTTAGTTGTTTGAGTTTTTCTTCTTCTGTGTGTGTCCTTGTCCTAAGGCTTGAACGCAGGGCCTGGGCACTGTCCCTGAGCTTTTGCGCTCATGGTTAGCCATAGGGCCACAACTAGCTTTTTGGTGGTAGTTGGATATAAATTGTCTTACAGACTTAGGAAAGCCCAGGCTGGCTTCAAACTTCAGTCCTCTGATATAATGTCCTGAGTAGCTCCACAGGCTTTAGCTTTATTAATCTGCCAAGTTAACGGCAAGACTGTAATAACATTTTCCTGAAGAAATGACTGGAAATGCATCACCTTGGCAAGGAATTAGAGGTGGTTTCCATTGGGATGAGAACTCCGTGAGCACTTTAGCTCCTTTGAGGATGGGTTCTAATTGCCCCTGGGAAGACATTGTGTCCTTGAGCAAACAGAAGATGTAAGCCAGAGGTCTAAGACACAGGATCTTAGGAGTTGAAGTCTAGATGTTGATGGGGAACATCTCCCATCCTCTCTTCCTCCCATGCTTTCCATCTACAAATGGCTTGAGGATGATCCTACAAGTGGCCTGAGTTTGAGCCATCTCAATTCAGTAGCATTGTATGGCAGGACATCTTTACTGAAAGGAGAGGAGGAGGGAAACAATACTTCTTGATGAACAAAAATAAGGACTTAGAGGGTTCACTGTAGGTATTCCATCTGTTTATTGAAGGAAGAGAAAACATCAAAGAAATTGGAACTGAAGGAGGTGGAACAACTGTCGAAATTACTCCTCCCCCATATGTTAATGTCTTTGTTTTGTTGTTTTGTTAGTGGTATTACTGTTGAACTCAGGGCCTTACATTTCTAAGCAGGACTCTACTGCTTGCTTTCCAGCCCTTATTGCATTAACTATTTTTCAAGCAAGGTATCTTGTTTTTTCTGGGCAAAGCCTCAGACTACAATTCTCGTGTTTATGACCTTTGACATAGCCGCTGAGATTAAAGCATGAAAACCACCAGATCTGGGTTTTGTTTGTTTGTTTTGTTTTGTTTTTCCCAATCGTGGAGCTTAAACTCTGGGCCTGGGCACAATCCCTCAGCTCTTCAGCTGAAGGCAAGCAGCACTTTACCACTTGAACCACAGCACCACTTTCAGTTTTCGGGTGGTTTATTGGAGAAAAGAGTCTAACAGATTTTCCTGCCTGGGCTGGCTTTGAACCATGATCCTTAGATCTCAACCTCCTAAGCAGTTAGGATACAGGCGCCAGCTGTGGGCGTCTGGCTCAGATCTGATTTATTAAGGTGGGGGTCACACTAACTTTTTTGACCATGGCCTTGAACCTTATCTTTACCTCCCACATAGCTGGGATTACATGTATGATTCACTGCACCTAGCCTGGAGTGTCTTTATTGGTCATAGCCTTGTAAGGATGTCTTCTAAAATAGAAGGTAAAGTGACGCTGGTGACTCATACCTATAATCCTCTCTACAGAGGAGGCTGAGATCTGAGGATCATGGTGCAAAGCTAGCCCAGGCAGGAAAGTCCATGAGACCCCAAGAAACCACCAGAAAGCCAGAAGTGGTGCTGTGGCTCAAGTGATAGAGTGCTTGCCTTGAGCTGAAGAGCTGAGGGATAGTACCAAGTCCAGAGTTCAAGCCCCACGGCCAACAAAACAATAAATAAATAAAATAAAATAGAAGGAAACCCATTCCTTTTGTTAGTATGACATTATCAATTGATAATGCATTGTCATCAATATTATCCCATTAAAACTTTATTTCCGATCCTGTGATTAACTCATATATGCAACATATATGTATATACATACATGCTACATACATATATATATATATATATATATATACACATACATACAAATTAGTGTTTAATTACTTAAGAATCAATGTCCTACAAAAATTTCTGGTTTGTGAATATTGATATTTTGATGCAAATTAAGATAATTATTTAAGCTAATATTTTCTTAAAATTTGTTAGAAAAGTTCATATTACTACTGTGAAATTACAACTTGATTCACTAGTTATAGTTCCACTAACATATGCAGTGTAAGGCAAATGAAAGTTGGTAGCTGATTTCAGACAGGAAGAGAAGTTTATTTATTCCCAAGGGCCTGCCTCACTGGGCATGGTGGAGAGCAGTGGCCTAAAGGGGCAATGCACCCCAAGGCCAGGACTCATCTGGGGGGGGGGGGGGGAAGGTGTGGCCAGGTGTGGAAAAGGTGTGGCCACACTGGAAGTGGATGTGACCTCAAGGCCTGAGACCCTCCCAAGGTCTGATGGGAGGCATAAAGGGGAGCAGCAGCCCAGGGTAAGACCTTGGAGAAGGGAGAGGTGACTGCTTCCAGGTACAGGGCAGAGACTTATGCAGGAGGTGGTGTGGCTTCTGCATAAGGCCTGCATGGCCCAGGAGGACCTTATGTAAAGTACGCTAGATACCTAAGAAATGATTTTAAAAGGCATGGACCTACCTGTGTTTACCTCTTTTTAAAAGCAATTTTATTGATAAGCAATTAGATATCATAAAACAAATTTTTTAGTAGTGCATATTATTATATGTAAAAATTAGTTATTTCTTTTTATTATCTTTAAGTAGACAAAAAGGATTTCAACTCAACATGTCAGGTTGTGAGTATAATGCATCTTTTTATGTTTTGTTTTATTTTATTTTATTTTTTTTATGTTTTGTTTTATTTTTTACCGGTAGTGGGACCTGAACTCTGGGCCTGGGCGCTGTCCCCCAGCTCTTCAGCTCAAGGCTAGCGCTCTACCACTTGAGCCACAGTGCCACTTCCGGCTTTTTTCTTTTTGCTTATGTGGTGCTGAGGAATCGAACCCAGGGTCTCGAGCATGCAAGGCAAGCGCTCTACCACTAAGCCACCTTCCCAGCCCCGTATAATGCATCTTGATCCCCCACTTTAAAAAAAAATCATTCTCTTTATCTTATCTACTTCTTGGTTTATCTTTCAAAGAATAAGTAAACTTCCCAGTGTTTATCACACAATGAGTTGGTCGTATAGGTATAATTTTAAGCAAAAGATGACTAAAAAATTTCCCACTTCTATGCATGTAGTAACTTATTGCAAAAGTGTATTTTTAGGCCCAAATTACAGCACTATGAAAAATATAGATTATAGTTGTAAAAATCTTCACTATTACTTGATTCCTTATTAAGGGTGATTAATGTTTGTTTCAATTTAGATAGAAGTAGCAACAAAAATTAATGATCAAACCAAGTGTCAGTGTTTCATGCCTCTAGCTACTCAAGAAGTTGAGCCCCAGCAAGAAACTCTGTGAGACTTTTTTTTCAATTATCCATCTAAAAAAAAGAAAAAGAAAAAGCAAACCTGTAAATGAACTATGGCTCAAGTTATAGAGTACCACCCTAAGCCAAAAAGCTAATAGACAGCACCTAGGCCCTGAGTTCAAACCTCAATACTGGCACACAAAAAATTAATGATCATGATATTATTGAAAGTAACCATCACCCACACAATGTTTACTATGCCAGGCGTTTACATGTATTAGCCTTACTATGTAAGGCGTTTACATGTATTAGCCCATTTATTCTTCCCAATAATTCCATAAGTTGGATATTATTATTGTCCTCGTTTTGTGAGAAGTTGAGGAAGAAAATGTCTAAGTTACTAGCCTGAAGCAACAAGCTTGTAAATGGCAGAAGAATAAGTAGAACCTTAACAAATTGGCTCCATTATCCATGTGGTATACATGTCAATATCCAGTCAATATAGAGACATTTAGAGTTCCAAAGTTTAAGATCAGGAAATGGATTTAGCCAACAGGGTACCTGCAGCAACCACATGAGCTTGATATTATCAGTCAACTGTGATTCAAAGTATTCTGGCCTGTTGTCCAAGGACACTTGAGTTTGTAAGATGCAGGACACTTGAGTTTGTAAGCAGGACACTTGAGTTTGTAAGATGCCACCAAACTTGAAATGTGCCTGGCTCATATTGTACTTCTAAATGTACTTGCAAATGCGATCTTGAATTTGATAGGGCTATTTGTTTGCTTATTGACTTTTCTGTGACTTGTCTTCCATTTGAAAATGAATCCAATTTTATATTGGCAGAAGGCAGACACTTCAAGCAAACAGTCAGATGCAGGCTTAAGTCATTAAAATCGATACATAGAAAATATTGTCAGCTGGTGTCAGTGGCTCATGCCTGTAATCCTTGCTACTCAGGAGTCTGAGATATGAGGATTGCAGTTCAAAGCCAGTCTGGGTAGAAAAGTCCATGACGCTCTTATCTCCAATAAATCACTAGAAAACTAGAAGTGGCACTGTGGCTCAAGTG